GGAGGCTGCTCTTGCCAATGCCGAAGTGTGCCAGGGGCTGGCGCTGCAGCAGCTGCTGAGGCTGGCGTGGGAACAGGCTAAGAATAGCCTGTTCCTGGTTCGGTGCCTGAGTTTCAGGGCCGGTCGTTCTGATGAACGACCGAAAATGGCCCTTCGTTTCAGGCTAAAAAGGCGATTGCCGTTTTTAGTCTGAAACGACACGGGCTGTAGGCCCCTGTTTTCAGGCTTTCGGGCTGAACAGTCACGGGGCCTGTAGGCCCTGGTTTTCAGGCTTTCAGCCTGAGGGACGCAGGGCCAGGGAAATGGCCCTCGTGTGCAAGCACAGCATGTAACCCCCCCCCCCCTCCTTATGAAGTCGAGCCGGGGCGAGGGCGAAGCCGGCGATCTGAAGGTGGAACCTGGACGCGGGCGCGGCGTGGAGCCGAAGAAACTGGCTTGCCTTGCATCTTGCGTTCATAACGTGCGAGAACGTTTGGAGCTGTTGCTTGAAGTTCCGCACGGGTCAACCAACAGTCAGCTTGGTGTGTGCAGTATGCAAAATGCACTAAATACTCGGTTGGCCTGTTGTCGTAGCGTCACTGGGAGATGATGTCGCCGACCTCCTGAAAACCATCCATGGAGGGTGGGTCTTGCGAACGTCTCCCGGGAAAATCGTCATGTTCCGCTGGCGTGTAAAGAGCCAACTTGGAGCAATGAAAGACTGGGTGGACGGGCAAGTGGGCGGGCACCTAAATCGTGAAGGAAGGTCCCTCAGGTGCGTCCCCAGCAGGTGCCACGATCGGCCAAGGCCCCGTCCATTTCAGCAGGAGCTTGCGAGAGATGCCTTGTTCAAGGCTGAATTCCGCTGCGGAAACCCACACGAGGTCGCCGGCACGGAATGGGCAAGGAAGACGCTGGCGATTGGCCTGCCGGCTCATGCGCTGCTGCGTCTTAGCCATCTGGTCGCGTGCCTTGACAAGAAGCTCTTGCATCCGACGCAAGAAAAGAAGATGGTCGTCGCTCTCGGCCTTTCGTGGAGTAATAGTGCCCAACGGTGAAGTGACCGGCGAGCCGTGCTCGAACTCGAAAGGCGATATCCCGATGGCCGGGTGGATGGAAGAGTTGTAGGCCAACTCGACATCCGGAAGTTGCTCAACCCAGTCCTTCTGGGAAGGACGAATGAGAGCGCGAAGGAGAACCTGTGCGGTCTGGTGCCCCCTCTCCGTTTGGCCATCGGTCTGAGGGTGGCGAGCTGAACTAGGCTTGAGAGATTAGCCCCATCGCTTGATGAGCGCCAACCAAAAAGCGGACATGAACCGAGTGCCGCGGTCGCAAATGATTTCCTTAGGGTAACCCTTGGTTCGAATCCAACGAGCGTAAAGAACCTCGACCAACTCCGGTGCCTTGGCATGATAGCGACAAGGCAAAAACATGGCGAACTTAGTGAGTCGGTCGACCACCGTGAGAATCCCATCCACTTCGGTCTTGTGCTTGGGGAACTGGCCGGTAATGTCCATAGCAATCGCTTCCCTTCGCCTCAACGGGACCTGTAATGGTCGTAACTCGTCGTACGAACGATGGTTACAAGATTTGCAGCGTCGACAAACCTTGCATGACTCGCAATAGCGTGTGACGTCGCCGAGAAGGCCGGGGGCCACCAAAGGGATCACTCGGTACGCAAAGGTGGTCCTTCCCCCGTGTGTGGACAAGCAAGTACCCCTCTTGGATCCGGTAGTGAGAAGGCGCCGGATTAGGAGAGGAGCAATTCGCGTACTTGTCGCGGAACTCGGGGTCGGCTTGGTAGCCGCGGATGAAGCTGTTCCGCAGGTCATTGTCGATCCCGAAGGTTGAGTAGACCGTGGTACAATGATCCGGACGCCGTGAAAGAGCATTCGCAAAACGGTTCGACTTCTCGGGAATGTGATCGAGAAAGAAGTCGAACTGGTCGATGAAAGCCATCCATCGAGCGATGGTGCTGTTGACGGTGTCTTGGGTCTTGTAAAAGACCAACGGATTGTTGTCCGTTACCCATCGAAATTGGCTTCGACCAAGGAGGAAGTGTTGCCACCGCTTGAGCGTGTGGACGAAGGCAAGGAGCTCCTTCTTGCGTGCATCGTCAATGGAATGCACGACGGGCACTTTCTTGCTGAAATACTCAACAGGGTGCCAGTCCACACCATCATGTTGCTCGCGGACTGCACCAATGCCATAGCCTAACGCATCCGTAGTGACACGCGTAGGCAAAAGTGGGTCGTATATGCGCAAGACCTCCGCAGAGAATAGCGCGGCTTTGAGAGCAAAAAATGATTCCCGCACCTCCACTCCGAAGTCAAACGATCGATCCTCGCATTGAAGCTTGATCAAGTGGGCCGCGATCTTCGAGTAGCCTTTGATAAAACGCTGGTAGTAGCCGGCGAGACCAAGGAATGAACGAACATCCGTGACGTTCCGAGGCTCCGACCACTCTTGGATGGCTTGAATCTTGTCCGATAGCAGACTGATGCCCTCTGGTGTGACAAAATAGCCCAAGTATTCCAGCTCTTGCCGGACAAATTCACACTTGTCGTGGTTGGCCTTGTACTTGGCGCGGCGGAGCGCCTCCAACACTCGTCGAAGATGCCCAAGATGATCCTCCAATGACCGGCTATAGACGAGAATATCGTCTAAGTAGACCAGCACGAACCGGTCCAACATTGCACGGAACTCATTGGTCATTGCCGCTTGAAAGGTCGCCGGGGCGTTGGTGAGGCCAAAAGGCATGACCACCCACTCAAAATGCCCGTACCACGTCTTGAACGCGGATTTGTAGCGATCATTCGGCCGGATCGAGATTTGATGATGTCCCGATTTCAAATCCAACTTAGAAAAATACTTTGCGCCGCCCAATCGCTCAAGAAGATCGTCGATGCGAGGAAGAGGCCCCGCATTCTTGACGGTTTGCGAGTTGAGCTTGCGGTAGTCGATACACAATCGTAGATCCTTGTTCTTCTTCCGGACGAAGAGAACAGGTGCTCCATATGGGGAGCTACTCGGGCGGATCCAGCCCTTGGCCAACAAATCGTCAAGTTGTGCGCGGAGGACCTCAAGCTCCTCCTCGCTCATCTGATAGATGCAACCTTTCGGCGGCACGGCACCGGCCTCAAGAACGATCTCGTGAGAGATCGGCCGATCCGGCACCAGACCGGTAGGTGTCTCGAAGATGTCGCCGAACTCGCCCAGCAACCGCACCACCCGGGGGTCCGAAGACAAGTCCGTGGGTGAAGAGTCGGCTACCGCGACGGTCCGTAGGAAACATAGGCCGATTTCCTCGGGCTGCTCGTAAGCACAAGTCGCCCGGAATGATTTGGTCGTCACCACTTGGCACCGAATCGAAGGGTGCGGTAGAGGAATAGTACACGCCACTTCGGCGCCGAAGGCGTCATGAACGCTAAGAGTCCGCCGGTGGAAGTTGACTGTGTGATCCGCACTTGCAAGCCAAGGCATTCCCAGAATGATGTCGAAGTCCGTGTTGGGAATATCGAACATCACCGATTCGCATGCATGAGGTGCGAAATAAACCGGTACGGCCTCGATGTATCGGTCGAGAAGTTGCTACGTTTTCCCATCCGCCAACTTGATCGCCGTCGGGTTTGCCTTCCTCCGAACTTGTGCGCCAAGGCCAACCCTTTGCATAAAGGATTGGCTCATGAAATTACGAGACGCGCCGCTATCCAGCAAAGCGCTGCAGGACGCTTGCCCAACCTGGATGCGGACATACATGAGCGGTGCGTTATTGTCATCGTACCGTTGCGTGCGAAACTCGCGGGCCACCTTGGTAATATACGCAAGGATGTCCCCCACCGCGACTTCGTCATCCGTCGGCGAAGCTGGTGGTGCATAGAAGGATAAGTAAGTGTGGAGATGAGCGCATAGTGTTGCGCATTGCGGTCCCGGCAAGCGGCCTGTGGTCGGGAGAGGAAGCCACGTAAAGTCCTCGGACGTGAGCGGGTCCAATACCTCTATGTTGAACTCGCACGCCGAATCCCGTGAGGAACCACTTGAAGACGATAAGTCGCCGCTGCCGGACGGAGAAGATGCCGCACACACGTCTTGTCCTTGAGCTCGAGTACCCAGCTTAGGAACGAGCCGAGTAGCATAGTCCTCAAAAGAATAAGTAAGAGGAGGACTATCGACTTCCGCATGCGCCTGAAAATGAAGGTCGGTCACTTGCGAAGAGACCGGTTCCGGAGGCGTCGAGAGTGTCGTCGAGTCACTCTCGGCGGTGCTCAATTTCCCTGTTTGCCCTTGCCTTTCAATGGGCAGGCCAATGTCTGATGGAGATCATTGTTGCACCATAGGCAATAGTGGAATCTCGTGCGCGCCTTGAATGCTTGCTCGGAGATGCCATATTGGGACCATGGGGCTGGAGCTGCTACGCCGGGCTCGGGGCTAGATGCGGTGTGTGTCTTCATCTTGCCGCGTCTTCGGCCTCTGCCTGGGCGGCCACATTCTCGGGCAGCTGCGAGTCTGTCCCGTTCATTGGCAAACACAACCTCGCTGGTTTGGTCAAACGGCGTTGCCACCGCGACCACGGCCACTCTTGGCCGGTGCTGGTCCCTGCTCGGGCCTGCCGCATACGAACGCAGGTTCTTAGCCTCCTTGTTCGTAATGATGATCTGCGCAGCCTTGTCAAAAAGTTCCACCGTCGTCATCAAGGTGTCCTCGACGTGAGTCAGGGCATTACTTAATGTCGGACATGACCTTGAGATGAAATAGTGGCGGACGGCTTTGAAGCCCATCTGGATGTCTGGGACTGACGTCAAGCGTTGGTACTCGGCGATCCAGTCGGTACTCAACAGCGTGCCTTGCTCGAAGTCCATGAGCTTGTCCATAGCCTTGATCTCGGGTGGCTCGACTTGGAACTGCTTGTGCCACGCCGCCTTCAGATCATCCCAATTGATCTTGGTGTGCAAGTCGGCAGCTACCACTCCGTACTTGGACAAGAGATTGTCCAACCAAGCCTGGCACGCGCCCCCTGAGCGAGAGTATAAGCATGCGTGGTGCTTGTGTTCTTTGACGTTGTGTAGCTGTAGCGTGAGCTCGAACTTGCGGAACCATGGAACCGAATCTGTCTTCATCGAGTTGCAGAAGATCTCCTGCCCGTCAAACTTTGGAGTTGTCTCGCGCGGTCTTGAACTAGAGGTATTGGCGGTAGTACAGATCCGTTGTTCCAGCTGTTGCGTTGTGGTCTGCTGTAACTGCACGCCGTCCTTGAGGGAGCCGACGTCCATCTCCAATGCTGTGAGGCGATCGGAGGTGTTGGAAGAGCTTGCATCATGGGCGACGACAGGTCGCTGCTCCAACTGCCGGAGACGGTCTTGGACCTGAGCCAGCGAGTCGTCGAGGCTGTGGATATCCTCCTGCTGCGTAATGGATGTCGCCAGGAGGTCCGTGAGATGGGAGAGGAGGAGAGCGATCTTGTTTTCGCTATCCTCCAACTTGCCATTCTCGGCCTCGGTCCGCCATTCCACTGCCATCGTGAGCAAAGTCTGCTCTCCGCTAAATATCTTTTCACGACGTTGAGTTCTTTCTTCATCGGCAGCCCTTGCTGTTGCCTCGTCATGATGGCGCTGTTGTTCAAGTGCCAGCAGACGTGCCTGCTCCGCGTCCTCTGCCTTCGTCTTCGCTGCTGCTGCTTCGTCATCTGCCCGTTTCTTTGTTTCGGTACTCCAGGCCAGCATCCGGGCGTGATAGGCCTTGTCTGCTTCTCCGGACCTCTGGTCCATGACGGCCGTTTGTGAACGGAACAGCATACACCAGGCCGGGGGCCTGCTGACATGGTATTGCTGTCGGCTGACGGGGCCTGCTGACATGTCCTGCTGACATGGCCTGCTGACGTGGTCTGCTGACGTGGCCTGCTGACGTGGCAACTCACCAATGCCGCCGCAGGGGGTACCCGGAGACAGGTAGAGAAGGTAGGGCGAGAGGTGGCAACAACATAGGTGGGGAGGGTGGGTGGGAAGAATCGCCCAGATAAGGAGCCACTAATCAAAAAAGAAAAACGTTGAACTTTGCAACAAAAAAAAAAAATCGAGAAAAATAAAAATCCCGACTTCTGCAAGTTCAGTAGGTCTCCCAACCTCCTTTTTGAAGTGCGAAATGATCAATGAGAAAAATTTCGAACTTCAGACTGCAAATGATTCATAGAACTGACTAACAGAATCCTACAACTGCGAGAAAAAAAAAATTCCGAAAAGAAATGACAAGTATTCGGATTTACTCAGATGAGAGTATTCGCAGTTTAGAAAATAATACCTGCAGGGGGGATTTCCCGTACCGTTTTCAGAAAAACGAATTTCGAAAAAGAAGATATTCCAAATTTTTAAGTAACGGGAAATGCAACAGGAAATCAAAATTTTCGAAAAGAAGGATATTCCGGATTTTCAACAACGAAATTCCGAAATTTCAGAAGGAAAACGAAAATGGAAATTCCCGATGTTGCGCTATTGCGATTTTTCACAACAGAATAGCGAGAAAACAAAATCCAGGAAAAGAAAAAAATTTTGATTTTCGGCAGTTAGGTCAAAATCGTGATTTTGGGGGGCTAACTAGTGTGCTCTAATCAATCAATAAAGACTAATCAGCTATCTACTCCCCGCACACGTGTCAGATCAGGTTGTCCTGATTCACGGGCGCTGCACCGATACCAACTGTTACATGCCCAGATGGGGGATGTACATAATAACCGAGGATCCGCAATGTTATAAAAAGGACTGAATGGACAACGCAGTGCAAGTAGAATCTCAACAAGCAATGTGCATTCTGATACATACAAATGGTGCTGAATAGCGCAGTGGAAGACTTAGATACAAGTCCTGACCTGACTGACCTCATTCACGTATGATACGATAGCGAAGCAGAATGCTAGAATGCTAATGACTAGCCCAATCAATGTTTGAACGCAGACCAAACATATATCGTGTCCATCACAAAGTGTGAAGGAGCCTGGCGCTGTACACAGGAAGGAAGCGCCAGGTCCAGACATACACAGACGAAGAGGAGGGGATCAGACGAAAGGAGGGAGAGAGATGGGAATGTCGTCAACACCAAGCCTTTGTCACAAGTCCCAAATAATCCCTCGTCGTAATGTCTGAAGCCCAAAAGTCAAGTCTGGATCCAATGTCACCAAGCTCTCTCTCTCACTCTTCTCTCGTAGTCTGCAGATGCAGTGAAGTCAGATAAGGAGAGGGTGAGAGGGAGAT